CATTTTGGACAAATTACATACTTTAAGCCATAGTTGCCTGTTGCTATAGAATATTTTGGGAACTCAGTGACCCTTGCCGTTATTTATCTAACTGATAAAAATATTCTGTTCCTGTAAGGTGATGACTTTTAAACCTGTGATTAATTTCATGTTAAAATGAGTTTAAAACAACAGAAAATGTGAGCTCCTTGTACACTGACAGTCATACAATCTCATGGGTCAGAAGGTTCATAAAAAAAGGATCTAGATAGCCCTATGTTCCATGAAGCACAACATGAAAAATTATGATTTGATCTAATTTTTATTACCATTTTCATACTGATCACCACTAATAGTTATTAGGTTCCAAAATACAATTTTATTAGCATATCAATAATTTCTTCCCTGATTATCAGGATACCATCAGGATTGTTTCAATAATATTACACATGACCATCATTTAACCGATTTTAGTAACGTACCAATGTAAATATGCTAATTTTAAAGGACAGTTTAAAATGAATAGTAGTTACCTGCAAGAATAGGTAGGTTCTCCAACTTTAAAAACTCGGCCACAAAGATGTGAAGGTTTGTTTGCTTGCTCAAGTTTTTGAAAGCCATAAGTAGGATCTTCACCACAAAGATACCATTCCATTGGGCCCAGAAGAACATGTTGTGCAAGCATATCTTCTCTTTCGGGGGCTGGATTGGGACCTCTGCAGTAAATTTGGGGCACATAATAGGCTAGGTGCTTATATATTTCTTTAGGAAGATCAGATGCTTGCAGCCAGTTCTGCAAGAAAAAAGTGAAAAAAGTACAAAATTAAAATAATATACAGCTACCCAGTTCTAAGAATAAAAGCTATTGATGGATTGAAAAATGTTAAACTCAATATTAAAGCTGGCTTTAACACCCAAAATTCACAGGAACATTTTGAACATACTGAAATGCTCAGTACACCCATAAATTGATGTCACCTATGTACCATACATTCTTGTAGTTGAAGAATGTCAAATAAATTGTGTGTTTATATAAATTGTATACATTGTATAAATATTGTTTAAAAGTAGACACAAAAGGAATTCAGACTTGTGGGTTTTTTTTAATCTTCCTAAGGATTTAACAAAACTTGTTAAATTTATCATGAACCTGTAAGCAGAAAAGTGTAAGAATTGCCTTAATAGATCAAGACAATTACCAGGTACTCCAACATTTCTGTAAATGCTTCCTATCTTTTAGCCACCACTCATATGTCTTTGGAGCTGGTCACAAGCTGGTCATAATGATGATGATCATATATGTAATTTGCAGACATTTTCATCAGATATTTTCCAACATTATATATGTGCAAAACCAAAAGATTCTCAAAACTTACATCTGGACTTTTTTCTATTTTTTTATTGCAACTAAAATAGTAACAAAAAATAATTGTTCTGCTACAGACAAATCATACAAATTGATAGCTGCTAGATCAGTGATGGCGAACCTTTTAGAGACCGAGTGCCCAAAAACCATCCTGCCCCCGGCCCGCCCCCATTCTGCCCTCTGCTCCGCCCCCCGCAGGGCCACTCACCACAGATCGCCCAGGCAGCCTTGCAGCGCCATGGCGGCCACACCCTCTGCCCGCACCCCGCAGCATCACCTGCACGTGATGGGGCGCAAAGGTGGAGTCTTGCCCCTGCTTACCGGCTGCCATGTGCTTGGCTGCTCTGCTCTGTGTGGGCTGTGCCTGGGGGAGCCTCTCTTCCGGGCAGGCTGCTGGTGAGGAGGGGGTTGCGGGGAGGCGGGGCTGGGGCAATGGCATGCGTGCCCACAGAGAGGGCTCTGAGTGCCATAGGTTCGCCACCACTGTGCTAAAAGCCCATTAAAATTAAAATTATCTTAAACCTATTAAAATTGTGGAAGTTCATCACCCTTCTTCTACAAAGGCATTACTTGCATTTAGCTTGAACTTGTAAGAAACAAGAATGAAAAAGTTAATAGGGTAAGAGAAAAAAATACTGTACCATGCCTATGTTTCTGCTTGTGAACTGTTGCAGTGAAATTCAAAAACTCAAAGGATAACAGGATAAAGCACCAAGTTATGGAATATCACGATAAAGCCTAAAAATAGTGCTGCTGTCACTCCTTGATCTTTCAATACCATAACATTGCAACTTGTATAATTGAGATAAGCAAGGATGAATGAAAATGACCTACATTCATTAAAAAAACCTGCTGATATTTCTATGTACATTTATTACAATTTCATCCTATCTAATTACAGAACATGATTTTTCCAATATACTGATTGACGTCTGGTAGTTTATTTTGACTAATATATACTATATACACAGCTCTCCTCTACAATGTTTTGCCAAATTCAGATTTTCTTAGAGTTTTTTAAATATAATAATTAAAAAGATTCTTGTTCAGTTATAAATAAATTGGGTTTTTCTTAGGACCAGGATAAGGCTACAACTACTCTAAGTTCCTTTTTAACCCCAAAATCATGTTGCCAAATTTTAGTAATAACAGCAAGATGATTTCTCACTAGGTTTTAACAGGAAACTCAGGAATAAGGAAATTGGTGTGTATATCTCCTAGAAGATTAATATAATTATTAAAATAATTTCTATAATTCCAAAATAAAATTTAAAAATGACTGAATATTCCCAACTCCATAAATATTACCATATGACTATTATGCTTTTTGCAGTTTTTGGCTACCCTTCTGTGTGTGTGTGTGTGTGTGTGTGTGTGTGTGTGTGTGTGTGTGTGCACGCGCATGCGCATACACCCACATGCATGTGCAGCTCTTGACCACAGGGGAAAAATTTATTACATATGTAGCATGAGAGAAATATTCTTAAAAACATGCCAAGTCCTCATTTTCTTTTAGCTAATGCATACCAAACACTCTTTTAAAACTAGGTAAAGCTACAATACCATTCAAATGTCTGTAAGAGCAACTGCAGAATACATTTCAGGAAAACTGAGTATCCCATTGTAATACTATACCTAATGCTTTTTAAAAATTAATATATCAGAAAACACATTTTTAGAATATGTGTCAGCTTTATGATAATGTAATATTGAAATGCTGTATATAATTATTTAGAATAAGTCCTACTAAATACATTAGAGCTTAATCTATAACATTAATTGTTGTTAATTGTCATGTATTTTACTCAAAAAATCTTGGCAATGGAAGTTTACTTAAAGATTTAATGTTGTACGCTGCCGGAAGTCACTGTGCTGAATTGGATGGTTATATAAATGTTAAATAAATGAGAAATATTTACCAAAATCATCAGGTCTTCTCATAGTGTAACTTAGCAAAGAAATGGATAAATACAAAACAATGATAAATGCCATGAAACACACATAATACAACCACATTACACAGTTGAGCTTGTCAAAAACATATCAAATGCTACAAAATATTACAAGTTTTCATCTAAGTACTACTATATCAAAGTAGCTGATTCAAAAAAAGATGAAGAAAATACAGACAAATCTAACCATTGGACCAGATCTCTTAAAATCTAGCCTGGACTTTTATACACTAGCAGTAATGGCTCTTACCCTTTTAACAACAGTAACAAAATAATTTTCCCATCTAAATTAGGCTACTGCAATGAAGTATACAATAGCAGATTTTATATTACATAATTGTGAACTTAATTCAATAGATACTCAAGTCTGTTTTATAATCCCATATTGTGCATAGTTTATATAGAAAATCAGAGTCATGGAGTCATGGCATATATTGAAGAAAATGTACAAACCCAATTATAATTGGGTATTATAATATTTAATACCAACATTTTAATTTTCCACTCAACACCGTGTGTGTGTGTGTGAAAGATACAAAATATTTTTCACACTTTAGTTCATACTTTCATGTTTTAATGATCATAAAATTTCACAAATACATATTCAACATATATTAAATATTAGTATGCTTGAGAGGAACAATAAACAATTTTGGCTGATCACTATAAAAAATGAGTAAGAGTTCCCACAAATATTCTGACAGATGCACTGCAAACAGGATTCACCTATGACCATATAGAAATATAACCTCCTCCTCCCTCCCCCCTCTATATATACATGTATATATACATAATAATCACTAGTACATTTTTAATATTTAAAACCTTACCTTTACAAATAGCTGAATTTATTTAACTCTGAACAAACTGGAAACTGATGCCTCAATAAATGAATTTACCAGAATTTAAACAGAATTTACCAACTCTTTATTTTAAACATATAAATCTTGACTAGTTTAAAAGGCTGATATCAAAAATAATACCCTATCACAATAGGACAATTCTCAATCTATATACTTATTAGCAAATTAAGGAAGGGCAGAATTTTATTTATTTGCCCATACATCATAGCAGTAATGAGTGCAGTAGTTTATTGATCTGGGAGCAATCATCCTTCAGTACCAGGCAAACAGTAAATTTGTAATTGGCATTTAACTATCCAATCTGCCCTTTAGAGCTGGTTGCATAAACAAAGTAGGCCAAATGACCAGCACTGGCACTATTATAAAAGAAGATTGTGTTCTGGTTATTCAGAACAAAAGGAGTTATTCAATCTGCCACTAGACAGTGCTAAGGATCAGTATTACATGAGCATTCCCCAAACTGACATTTTCTATATTAATTGGGGCTACAATGTCTACAATATGGACACAGGTTATACTCACTGGAATATATCTGGTGAACAGTCAATTTCTAACATTTCCTCAAATGGTTTCAAATCAAAAGTATCAGACCATTAAATGCTTAATATCTTGAAGTAAACTAAAATAATTTGTCTTTGAAAATTATAAGTGATAAAGTAGGGTGTCATTTATAAAAAAATATTGTAACTGAATTTTAACCTTTAAATTATAAAGCTTATTATTTTCCATACTAGACCAATATAGCAAGCACTGCAGAATCTGTTTACAAAATTATCTACATAGTTAAATAAGTATAAATGTCAATCAAATAAATCAAATTCTACTGTTGGAAAATGAAAACATGGATTACACTTGAAGTAAGGTAAATGGAGCACACTTCAAGCCATTTTTGGTTCACACTTCCTATTTCATAGAGCACTATATCTTAGGACCACAAAACAATTACGTTAAAAGACTTTTTCTCTTTATATCCATATTTACTGTCATAAGTTGTTCTAATATTAAAGAGTGGGTTTTTTTGGAAAAAAATCATGATAGCAACTGTAGTCTGCTGCAATTCCAAAATAAAACAAGCAAAACACTTCTTTCAATTCTCTACTTCAATCCTTGCAGGCAACAACCTATGTTTACCAATTCATTGAGATGGCTCAGTTCTCAGTCAACTCTTGAACCCAGTGAAACAACAAAGACTAGAATATACTTACGATATACTGAGCACTGCCTACGTTTACCAAATGATATTTTTTGCCTCCCTAGCCGATCAAAGCTAAGGACTCGAAACCGTCTCCTTCCATCCTCCAAAGCGCCTCTTTTGCAAGCAATTTGCCTCCTCATTCTCTTCCTAAAGGGAAGCCACCGCTTCGCAGCCCTCTTTTCTGCCACCTATCTACTGAATCTCTCCCACTCGTTGCGAGCTATTCACACTCAGAAGCTCCCCTGGATCTCATCTCTCCAGGACAGACCCCCGCCATTTCCTCCCTCCACCCGCCTATTTGTTCTAACTACAGGCCTGACAGCCCAAATCCTTTCGGCGCCCTCCCACCCTCGCTCCTCTACCATATCCTTTGCTTCAACCCGGTTCTGACGCCACCTGTCTACCGTCTCCGTCCGTTTTTCGCTTCTCCTGCCTGCTACGCTTTGCTTGGAGCCCCGCGGCAGAGGCAGGTTCCGCCCGCTGTTTCTGGAGAGGGCCTTACCAGGGCAATCTCCTCGGAGGAACATTCCAGGAGGCTTCTGTCAAGGGCCTGCACTTCTGTCTCCATGTCGGACGCCATCTTCTTCTCCTTCCCCCCCCCTCCTTCCACCTCCGTCGCCAAGTAAGTGACACCCGGAACCGGCCCTTACCAGCCCCTCTATCAGGAGAACCCGTTTCCGTTTAGCTCTCCACCTCAATTCCGTTCCTACTCAAACGCCCTCCAGCTTGGGGAATCACCCTAGTGTCGCTTCCCTGCCGGAAGGGAATCCATTTTAGGATCGCGCGGAGCACTTTGGGAGATGTAGTTGCTCTGACGAAAGGAAGGCACGGCTACGGATAAGGGCTGCGAAACTTCGGACAACCACGGCTTTTGTGCCTTTGGGCTGACATCTGAATGTGCTTGTCCGGATTTTCGCAGCCCCTATTCAGCAATGCAAGATGAAAACTGCTCTGTCATTCAGTGAGGTGACGTATTCCCACTTTCAACCGCCAAAGGGTCCTGTATAACGTAGCCCAGATGTCAAGTTGCCTTGTGCAAATAGTACTGTTCCACCCGCTTCGGAGCGGCTTCCTTCGTCGTTTCTCAAACAGAACAGTTTATTCGAGAATAATAAATGGAAGTGCCTTTGCACATGTGTAAAGTGGGAAACTGAGTTCTGCTACGTTTTGTATTTTAGTCTGCACCTGCCTAAAATATTATTCAAAAACATACGGCGCTTCTAATACACTTGGGCAATTATTCAGCAGGCCCCTTTTCAGAATACAAGTTGACATGCTTGATCTAGTTGGACCTGTTTGCCTTTGGTTTTTTTCTTTGCCTTCTTGTGCATCACTGTTTTTTGAAACCTTATTACATTTGAAAACAGCAGTTTGTTATTTAATCCTGTAGGGAGCAGCAGCGTACATGTATTCAAGTAGGCACATGCCATGTTACATAAGCATCACATATTACTGTGTATTATGGCCTGCATGATTTACTTTTATGTATCTATACTAAGGCAGAATATAAATAATGTAATGCTTATATAGGAATGATAGATGTCTAGGAGACTTTATTCATGTAAGTGTTTTTCCTTCCAGGAAATTGCTGAAAGAATCTGGGTAAGATTAAACAGAGTTAAAAAGAACACTGATATAATTGTGAGAGATTTCTACACTATGCCTGAAATGTATTTCTAAATTAATTTACCAAGTTCTCAAGACTGCAGGATGAGACTTCAGTTATCATGTTTATCTCCTGGAAAGCTGAGTCACATGTCCAACAGATTTCCCTTTTGCTGGTATTTGCATTTTGTAAAAAGTTGAAGAAGAAACAAGAAGGTCCCTTGTCTGGTCCAATACTGACTAACGATGTAGAATTGATTGATTGATGAAATGACAATGTCAATACCTGTGAAGAAAGTAGCTAAGGGGGAAGGGAAGATTATATTATATAAATATAATATAAGAGTTGAAAGTATGTTCCCATATACCTTGGGCTTCAGGAAGGTAGATTTTAGTGATCTGGGTAAAAGGTACACAATGTATCATGACATGAAATGATAAAGACTAAACTAGTTGAAGAGGGGTGGGAGATCCTAAAAAATGAGGTAGGAAAAAATACTGGCAGTGACAATCCCCTTAAAGGCCTTTATGGGTGAACAAGAGAATCGGTTTGTATAGTAGTTAAGGCAGGGGTCCCCAACCCCTGGGCTGTGGACCAGTACCAGTCCATTGCCCAACAGGAACCAGGCCATGCCACCGAGCAAAGCCCTATCGTGCGAGATCCAGGCAGTGTGCAAAACCACACCCTCATGGTCAGTGGAAAAATCACCCTTCACAGAACTGGTCCCTGCTCCCAGAAGGATGGGAGCCACTGAGTTAAGCCATCAGGCTGCAAACTGGGAGAGTGTGAATTCTAGTTTCACCTTAGGCACAGAGATCTTGGGTTAGTCACTTTCTCTCATCCCTAGGAAGGAGGCAATGGCAAACCTGAAAAACCTTGCCAAGAATACTGCAGGGACATGTCCTAGCAGTCTCTGAGACAGGATTGAATGGAAGAGAAAAAAATGGATGAACAAAGGGTCAGTTTGATATACTGATTAAAGGTGCCAAGATAGAAACCAGAAGACTGTAAGTTTTAATCCTGCCTTAGGCACAAAACTCAACCTTTAGAAGAATGACAAAACTTCTAAAACTCTTGCCATGAGAACTTCTCCAGGCAGTAGTCAGGAATCAAGATTGACTTGAAACCATAAGCTCTGTCCATTTGTCTGCCTGCCTATGAATGAACTGAAAAAGTAGAAGCAAAAAAAAAAGAGATATAAAAAATGGAAGTGGTCTAACTTACTAAAAGGGAACCCTAGCTGGTAACTAAAGACTGTAAGGATGGCAAGAAACCAAACATTCAGAATGAGATTAAACTAGCAAAGTATGTAAAAAAATTCAATAGAAGAGAATATACGTAGCTCAGGTTTGAACTGGAAATTCTTGGTGCTCTCCGAGTTTGGTTGTTTGCTTGCAAACATTTCATTACCCAACTAGATAACATCATCAGTGCTAGTCTGTGTAGGGTTTGCTTCCTGTTTATTTAAAGTAGCTTGCCCTATCAGAGTTGATGAGGGTGTGGTTTCCTCCATGGTAGTTCCTTCATTACAATATTTGTGTGCTGTTGATTTCTGCTTATATGGGTATTGGCTGCTGGGGAGAATATGTTCTGGTCTTTTTGTTTCCTTCTAAGCTTGTTATTGTCTCGTTTGAATAGTGTGTAAATGTAACATATCTCTATGTGTCTATCACTAGCACTGATGTTACCTAGTTGGGTAAAGAAACATTTGCAAACAAGTAATCAAGTTCAGCACCAAGGACTCCATAATTGAAGAAATGTATATGTCTAAAATAAAACTCGGGGAAACTATTAGTCTGTTGCTCAATGCAGACCAGGAAATAATGACAACAAATAAGGAGATGGTGGAATTGCTTAACACTTTCTTTGTATCTATTTTCTTCCAGAAAGGGGAGAAAGCCTTTAGAAACATGACTGAGCAAATGGGAGGACAAAGCTCAGGATTGATAAAAGTATGATAAGAACCTGCTACCTTAAAATGAATTCAAATCTGCAGGGCCAAATGACTTACTTTGTGAGATGGGTGGCTATAGAAATGTGATAACTAAGTAACTTGTGGTTATTTATATACTAATTAAATTTCTATAGCTGCCAGAAAACAACAAGAAGCTGTGCAAAGGCCCTCCTAGCCACAACTGCCACTTGCTCATCAAGCAGGTATTGTGAATCTAGAAGGAGCCCCAGATTGCACACTGGATCTGTCTGGGACAGTGCATCTCCATCCAGCATTAAAGATAGCATAGTCCTGGAACCAGTGAGGCCCCAAATCCAAAGCCATTCAGTGTTGTCAGAGTCCAGCCGAACCCTTGTTCCTCACCCAGACCTCTACCCTTCTAACACCAGGATATGGTGTTCAACTTAATTTGCTAAGTGTGAGGAGGTAAAGAGGTATCATACTGATGATACCTTTCCCCATGGCAATGGATAAGTTCACCCAGCAATCTCATGTATAGTAGATGTTAAAAAAGGAGAGGAGAAAGAACCGAATCCCATGGTACCTCACAAGGTAGGGATGGAGGGCAGGACCTCTCCTCCGTAATCATCACTGACTGGAATCATCCCTGAAAGAAGGAAGTGAACTAGCACAATACCATGCCACTCATTCCCAATGCTCTGAGCCGATCCAGTGGATAATCGCACTAGAAAATCCCATAGAAATCAGGGCATTATTTGACCATGACAAAGGAGACACTGAAATCTTCCCCAATTTCATATCACACTGCCACTACTCCAACAGAAATCCCAAATCCAGAGTGTGACCACTGTCCCAAGCTCTGGGTGACCTGGGCTGTCACAGAAGCCATGACCTTTGGAGCTACCTCAGATCCCATTCTTAGGGAAGGCAGACTGAAATCCCCCAGAACCATAAATCCAGGTATCTCCACTGCCAACCCAGAAATGGAATCAAGGAGCTCATGTAGGGAGGTTGTTATGCAGCAGGGTAGCTGGTACGACAACAACAGTCCCAACTATCCTTGGACACCAACTTAATGAACAGGGTCTCACAGCTGGGGACTCATGGAGCAGGGACCCTGAAAGCTGTAAGAGACTCCTAGGTGACAATTGCCATTGACTTCTTATTTGAATATGGTAGTAGTATGAGGATAAGATCACAAAAATATACTTTAGAAAATGCATTGAACCATCATAAAGGGTGACGTGATTCTTTGAAAAATTAAACATAAATTGTATTTGTATTGTCTAAAACAAGCACATTATAAATACAGAAAGGCCTCAGTTTAATAGAACAGTTAAAGGGATTGGTAGAAGTAGTCCAAATACAAAATTCCTTTTTTTCTATTTCTTCTCTTTAAGAGAAGAGTAAATGAGCTTCTATCTGAACTTCCCCTTCCTTTTCCAAAAGGTACATATACCCCTCAGATAGATTGCTAATTGAAAAAAACATTCTCAACATTAAGAGGACACTGAAATTCTTTTCAACATGTTTTTGCTTCCATTACATAACACTTCAGGCAACGGATTCTGGGAGCTCAATTTACCATATACAATGCTAATTTGGATGGAGGGGGAAACCATTGGAAACCATTGCAGATACAGATTCTCTTTGGGCATGAGGCTCCTACTGGATCCATAGTTCTACCTTTCCTAAAAGACTGCAGAGCCAGTGACAGCACAGTATACTGTAGGTCCTCTCATTTATTTTGAGAGAGGGAGGGAGGGAGAGAGTAAACATGTCATAAAGTAAGTTGTACCAAGCTAAAACGCCCAGAGAAATCATCCCATTTGTTGCCAGGGCTAGAAGAGTTGGTATTGCAACTGAAAGTAAATAAGTGTTTTAACAATTTCAACGTATAAAAGTGTTCTTTCCAAAGGATGATTTTGCATAATCAGAAACAGAAATGGTCCCCAGACATTTCACTGTGCCAAAAATTAAACCCTTTAATAATCTTATTAAATATGACTCATTTTAAGGAGCATTCCTACGTAAATATTATACATTCTCTTGTGTTATTACTG